GACACACCAGCTAGGTGACTGAGTGGACTCCATCACTTCAGAAAAACAAACTGCTACTGAGCAGGTGACCCCTATGGGCAGCAGGGTTCAGCTCCACTGAGGAGCCTTGAAAAACAGGGTGGAACAGGCCTGGATGGGACATCAGAACCGTCCATGCCAGGAGACTTGGGTCTCCACCCCCAACCCATCCCTGACTCTGCCATCCACCAAACCAAGCCATCACAGGCCCTGCAGCCCACGTACCCACACAGTGAGTACAGCGGTCACCACCAACATCACAGGCACGGGCGCCAAGTGCTTCCTGTCGGCCAAGCGTGACTGCTTCACTTAGTCCCCGCCCGACCCCAGGATGCAGAATCCCCACTTTACAGCAGGAGAACTGGGGCAATGCTGGGAGGGAGGGGCCCCAGAGCCCGCATTATGCTGCCCTCCTGCGTGGAGTGTGAGGCACACAGACCCCTCTGTTGGTGCCCTAAGCACTAAGCACTAACTCAGAGCTCATGTCAAGTGCCCCCTGCTCGATCCACACACACACCAGCCCACCAGACTCACAATCTTGAAGACAGTGCCTCAGCCTCCCCTGCCCTCAATGCCACAGCCTTCCCGGTCCAAGCCTCCAGTCCTGGTCTCTCCAAGCTCCAGGAGGGCTCTCAGCATAGATGTTTACCTGCTTGTCTAATAAGCTCTTCAAACACAATACATCCAACACCAAGCCCAGTCCCCGCAGACCTGCGCCTCTTCCTCTCCTTCAGTGACAGCACCATTCACCCAGGAGTTCAAACCCCAGATCTAGGAAGCATCCTTGAATCTCCCCATCCCTGTACCTCCAACATTCAAGCCATGAGCAAATCTCATCATCATTACCTCTCCACTCTAGCCTGCCCGCTTCTCAGCACACGGCTCCGCCACCATATCAACAACAAGGTGCCACTGTGTCCCTCCTGAGACAGGCTGTCCCAGGGTCGGCTCCTTCCTGCAATGGGTTCTCAGTTCCCATCTGCCTTCCAGAAGGGTTCTCCTTGACAACCCCAGCTCAGGCACCTCTCCCCACACCCAGGACAGGCATTGACAATCTATGGTCTGAGAGTCAAATCCGGCCCTCAGCCTGCTTTTGCAAAGATTTATGGGCTGGGCGCAGTGGCTCATGCCTGTAATCCCAGCACTTTGGGAAGCGGAGGCAGGTGGATCACAAGGTCAGAAGTTCAAGACCAGCCTGGCCAAGATGATGAAACCCCGTCTCTACTAAAACTACAAAAATTAGCCGGGCACGGTGGCAGGCACCTGTGATCCCAGCTAATCGGGAGGCTGAGGCAGGAGAAGTGCTTGAACCTGGGCGGCAGAGGTTGCAGCGAGCTGAGATCGTGCCACTGCACTCCAGCCTGGGCAATAAAGTAAGACTCCATCTCACCAAAAAAAAAAAAAAAAGGATTTATGGGGACACAGCCACATTCATTAATTATTGTCTCTGGTGGCTTCCACACTGCAACGGCAGAGTTGCATGTTGGTGACAGGGACTACATGGTGACAAAGCCTAAAATATTCACCATCTGGCCCTTTGTAGAAAGGGTCTGCTGACCCGTTCTCTGGGATTCCACCCTATTTTATTTTTTCTTCATGGATTTAACAGGACCTGCTGTTTTCTCGCCTAGTCATTGCTTGCATTCTCTGTTTCCAGCACTCAATTCTTATTTCCATGAAGAAAGGAGCCTCTTCTTGTTCACTGTGCCTACAATTCATGGAGCCATGCCAAGCACACACTAGGTGCTTCATAGGCAGCTCAGCATGGTTCCAAGCAGCTCCCAAGGCCCGCTGTGCATGACTCAACTCTTACCTCTGCAGAGGAAGAGGTGAGCGCTGGCCCCCACCACCACTTGCACACAGGCGTTCAGGCACACACAGCACGCCTGGGCCTGAGCTGATCACACCCACAGTGTTTCTGGGTCACCGAGCTGCCGTTCTGAGCCTGGGCACCTGTAGGAAGCCAGAGTGGGGCCCCAGTACGGGGCCTGGATCATTGCGCAAGAGGGGAGGCTGTGCCCCTCAAGTCCCATGCCACTTGTCCGCGCAAATCACAAGTGTCCTGAGAAGTGCTGCCCACACCACCTTATGTAAGAACTGCTATTTTTAGGTTGCTGATCTTGGCTGTATACTGCAAACCTAGGGGATTATCAGTGACAGCCCTGGCCTGTCCCGCCATAACTGATCACTGAGTACCTGGCTGATGAACAGTTTGACAAAACCAGAACTGCATTCCATAAAGAGCAGTAAATGCGCAGCAGAGATAACCAAAACGCCTACCAGCAAGGAAAAGGATAAAAACCCAGGGCTACTCACGCAATGAGAGATAGTGATTAATGTGATCTGACAGCAAACCACAAACACTGAGTGGAAAATCGCGACCTGTAGAATCTTGTATGTAAAGTGATACCACTTATACAGGAATTATATAACATTCTGGAAGTGTTCAAGAACTATATCTATGAATAAAAATAAGAGGAAGGCCAGGCAGTGTCTCATGCCTATTATCCCAGCACTTTGGGAGGCTGAGGAGGGCAGATCACCTGAGATCAGGAGTTCGAGACCAGCCTGGCCAACATGGTGAAACCTCATCTCTACTAAAAATACAAAAATTAGCCGGGTGTGGTGGTGAGTGTCTATAATCCCAGCTACTTGGGAGGCTGAGGCAGATGAATCGCTTGAACCCGGGAGATGGAGGTTGCGGTGAGATGAGATTGCGCAATTGCATTTCAGCCAGCCTGGGTGACAGAGTGACACTCTACCTCAGAAAAGCGGGGGGGAATCAGAACAGAAAATAAATAACAAGTGTTGGTGAGGATATGCAGAAAACCTGGAACCTGTGCACTGCTGATGAGAATACACCCTGGTGCAGCCTCTATGGAAAACAGTACGGAAGTGCCTTCAAAAGTTAAAAACAGAACTACCATCTGATCCAGCAATGCTACTTCTGGATATATATCCAAATTGAAAGCAAGGACTAAAGTAAATAAATATCTGCTTTCCCATGTTCATACAGCATCACTCACAATAGCCCGCAGGTGGAAGTCACTCAAACATCTATCAGTAGGAGAACGGATGAACAAAATGTGTAACATACGTACCATGGAATACTCTTCAGCCTCGAAAAGGAAGGAAATTCCGACACATGCTACAACACAAATGAGCCCTGAGGACATCATGCTAAGTGAAGCCAGCCCATCACAAAAGGACAAGTACTGTAATGACTTCTATGAGATACCCAAAGTGGGCAAGTAGAATGGTGGTTGACAGGGGCTGCTGGAAGGGAAATGGGGAGATCGTCTGGGTATGGAGTTTCAGTTTTAAATGATTAAACAGTTTTAGAGGCCAGGCATGGTGGCTTACGCCTTTAATCCCAGCCCTTTGGGAGGCTGAGGCGGGTGGATGACTTGAGGTCAGAAGTTCAAGACCAGCCTGCCCAATATGGTGAAACCCTGTCTCTACTCAAAATACAAAAATTAGCTGGGGATGGTGGCGCATACCTGTAGTTCCAGCTAGTCAGGATGCTGAGGCAGGAGAATTGCTTAAATTTGGGAAGCGGAGGTTGCTGTGAGCTGAGATCACGCCGCTGCACTCCAGCCTGGGTGTTGCAGTGAGACTCTGTCTCGGGGGGAAAAAAAAGTTTTAGAGATCTGTTTCACAACAATGGGAATATATTTAACACTACTGAATTGTACACTTGAAAGTGGTTAGGATGGTAAAAAAAAAAAAAAGACACGGGAGAAAGTGGCCTGGGGAGACGACCTAGATGCAACCAGGAATGGGGGTCTCAGATTGGATTTCACCTTCGTCTACAATGTTTCATTTTTTTAATTAGAAAAAGGCAGCAGTAAACATGACTGAAATCCAAATACCTGTCAATTTCAAGAAATGGGAACATGCATTTCTTCTTCTAATTTTAAGGTCCTCAAAAAGAAAAGAATTACAGGCCAGTGTCTAGATGGAGTCCTGGGCTCCATGGTCTGGGGGCCGCTGAGCAGGTCTCAGGATGGGACACCTGGCTGAGCCTGGCAGGGTGACCGCATGGCATCCGGGTCTGGGCACCTGCCGGGGATGTCAGGAGCCCCGAAGAGGCAAGGCCACATGTGCTGAGAAGTCAGGCCACTGGCAAAACAGGACGAAAACCCAATCCTGAGACTGTAGACCAAAGCCTCACACATTCAGTAGCCGAGGCAGGTGGGCTTTGTGCCCAGAGAGCAGGTAGCCCCCCGTCAACCCTGGAAGCTCGCTGAGCTCAGGAGACTGGGGCCAGCAAACGGACAACACAAAGGAAGGGAAGGAGCAGCACCAGGCAGAAGACAGCTGCAGGCAGGGTGCCCAGTCCACTCTGGACCCAGGCAGAAGAGAGCTGCAGGCAGGAGTGCCCAGTCCACTCTGGACCCAGCCAGCAGAGAGGAGAAGCCTGACACTAACTCTGCAGCCTGTGCAGGGAGCTCAGAACACTCAACATGGGACCTCGATGCTGCTCTGCCCCCCCCACACCGGTGACTCCCAGATCTCCTCTAGGCCCTTATGGCCAGTGTCCAGCTGCTGGTGGCAAAATGTGAACCAGGAAGGGCGAGGAGGGGCATCTGGTGGTGATGAAAGGGGCTGGGCTGAGAACTGGCCCCACACTGGGGCAGCCAGGGGCTCACATGTGCCCCACTTTGTGAATCTGCTGAGGGTCCCAGGCTGGGCGAGGGGCAGGGCAGACAACATCCTCCTGGGGGCTGCCCCGGCATGCTCGCCCTCTCTTCGTGACCATAACTCCACACCCTAGTTTGACCTGGCCCGTAAGTTTTTCTTGACAAATACAGCAACCCAGAGTTAAATGGGAAATGCTTTTTTTCTTTTTTTTTGAGACCTCGTTTTTGTCTTGCTTTGTTGCCCAGGCTGAAGTGCAGTGGTGCAATCAGGGCTCACTGCAGCCTCGAACTCCAGGGCTCAAGAAAGCCTCCCGCCTCTACCTCCCGAGTAGCTGGGACCAGAGGCATGCACTAGTATGCCTGGCTAATTTTTAAATTTGTTGAAGAGGTGAGGGTTCACTATGCTGCTTAGACAGGTCTTGAACTCCTGGCCTCAGGCGCTCCTCCCTCCTCATCCTCCCAAAGTGCTGGGATCACAGTATGAGCCACTGAACCCAGCTGGGAATCCTCTTTTATCATTCTCACCAGGGAAATGAACCTCCCTCCCTTAGCACAGGGGAGGAGAAAGCTGAGCCCCGTCCCTGCTCATTTGGGGTCGGCCTGCCTTGGGAAGATGTTGGCGACAGAGCTTCCTGGCAGCCTCTGGGCCTCAGACAGTGCCTGTGCTGGCCCCAGTGTGGCCCTAGGGCTGCTGGTAGATGGGAGGCTGCGGCACAGGGTCAGTAAAACTGGGGGACCAGGCAACGAACAGACCCGTGTCCTTTTTTGAGGTTTCAGAGGCATAGGGGCTCTCAGGCTCAGTGATCCCACTGCCTGCAGAGGGGCTGGAGGTGCTCACAGGAGCACGGTGGCTTGGGAGCCACATCCTGAGAGCCACCGCGTGCCTGCGGAAGCCGTGAAGCCAGGTTCTGTAGGTGGCAGCCCAGGTGTGATACGTGATCAACAGCAGGGGCTGGAGCGCTACACCAAATCTGAGCCACTGCCAGCTTTTCTAGGTCCAATTTTACCGAAAGACAGCCATGTGGGACAGAGGCACTATGGCTGGCAAAACCGAAACTATTTGCTACCAGCTTTTGACAGAGAAGGTTTGCCAACCCCTGATCTACACCACGTCACGTTGTAAAATGTGTAACGCACACATTGCAGGGCACGCTGAACAAGCCACGCAGGGCTCTGCCTGATGGGAGTCGCCTGTCCTACCCCTACTCGGTGAGAGATGTGTGGGGCCCCAATATGGTAGCCCGGGAAAGTAGGAGCTGGGCAGGGGGTGGCGGGGCAGGGGTGGAGGGCTGTAACTCTTTCACCTTGGGTTACACATGGGGACAGTGCTCAGGGACGTGCAGGGCCAGGGTTGCTAAGGGAATTAGAGTTCTGGAAGCAGCTCAGTCCTTTGGACTTTCCCTTGACTTCCAGATCGGGGTCCTCCTTCCCTGCAGGGATCTGGGCCCCACGAGGGCCCACCCTGCTTCCAAGCCTGCCTGATTTCATTTTCCAAGTATTTATGAGACCTACTGTGTGCCAGACACTTTGGGAGGTTACAGCAGGGAGCTGGGGACCAGGCCCTTCAGGAATGCACACTTCCTCCCAGTGAGACTGGAAGAACATTAACAAGGTCTTTTCTGAGAGCCAGTGCTAAACGTAGGGAAGAAAAAGACTGGTGCGCCCAGCAGGGCCGGGGCTGGGGTGACAGTGGAGGTCAGGGAAGGCCTTGGGAGGAAGTGACCTCACTCCAGCCTGAAGAAGCCAGCCGTGCAAAGACCTAGGGGCACAGTTCCAGTCCTGGGGCGCAACTCAAGGTGGAGTGGGTGAAGTCAGGCCACAGAGGAAGGAGCGATGGGGCTATGGGGACAGATGAAGTCGCAGGGCCGGCAGGGACCATCCTGCAGACCTCAAGCCTCCTCTCCCTCCAGAGGGGCCGCCCCTTGGCTCTGTCTAGCCCTGTGATTCCTGGAAGGCCCTCCTCCGGGAAGAGACCAGTAATAGGAAAAGCAAAGCCAAACAAAACTGGAAGTGCCTCCAACGGAGTGCTTAGCGCCATCAGGCTCAAAGTTAAGCATATTACTGCATTATTTCACTAAATCCTCACAAAAGCCCGCTTGGGGAAGGTACTTCCATCACATCAAAGTCCCTCCCCAAGGTCCCTGCTGAGTGATCAGGAAGCCTGGTTCCAAAATAGCTATGAGCTGCGGAAGGCTGCACTCAACCAGAGACAAAATCAGAACTCCAGAAATCACAGTCCAGCGGGTGTTGCCTGTGCTCCAAATGCCTGATGCCCAGCCCGTCCCTGGCAGGTCCCTCAGCTTCGCTGGGCTGTCCTACCCTCCAAGCCACACTTCCTTCCTCAGGTGGGCTGGATTGGGTAGGTCCCCTAGCTTCCCGGGGCGCCTGGCCTGTGTCTTGGCAGCCCTGAGGGCTGACGTGTGCAGGGACGAAGGCCGAAGTCAGACTCACCTAGGCTCACACAGACTCCACTGGGAATGACGCTGTGCAGAGGACGATCCCAGCGCATTAGGGGACTACCTCCCCACCCACCTCCTTGGCCTCTGACCGTCTCTGGCCGGGAGATACCAGCTGTGTTCAATTTCCAAAGGGGTGCTCCCCTTGGGCTGCAGGGTGACTCGGAACCTCTGCTTTCCCACTTGCAAAGGGGCTGACCACACCTCTATCCTACACAACCTGTCTGGTGTTGGGGAAGCCAGAAAGGAGGAGATTACAGGCCGCCTCTCTCTGCAGGTCTGCTCAATAGTTTCCTCTCTGAGACCGCAACCATGCTCGAATCTATTTCCCTTGACAGCTCCCACCAAACTCAACTGCTCCAGAGGAACTGGGACCCCAACGCCCCCTCCCCAGCGCCCCGAAAGTGTTGATCCACTCACAACACCTCCCTGCCCAGGGGGACAGTGGTCCCATCCAGGCCTCCAGACTGCAGACTGGGACTGAGAAGAGAGGCCTGGCGGCCGCACGAGACCAAAACTCCTGGAAACACCACCGGCAACCGGGCTTGCTGAGACCCCTGCAGCCCCGGGCCGCCCGCGAACCCCTCACTCCCACCAGCTTACACCTGCGCGCTTCCACGGGAACTCAGCCTCGGCCCCTCTGGCCCCTGCCTGCTCTCCCTCGCTCTCCCCAGGCTCCCTGCCGCGCCCACCCCGCAAGCCGCTCAGGATCGCCGTTCCCCGGCCTCTTCTCCGGCCGGAGTCCGCGGCGCCGCGCCCCGCCCGCCCGGGAGCCACCCAGATGGTGCGGCCGGAGGGAGCTCGCCTGCCCCGGGGGTGGGGATGGGGGGACTCGCCTCCTGGGCCCGCCCCGCGCCCCGCAGCCCGGCCGGAGGACGGTGGAGAACTCACCTGCAGCGCCGGGCCCGCGCCCGGAGCCCCGAAGCCACCCCGCGAATCCGCACCGCCGCCGCCTCCCGCCCGCCCTAGGCCACCCGGCGCCACTCAGGTCCCCGCCCACTCCCCGCCGGACACGCCCCCACGGCGGCTATGCCAATCGGAGCCCGGGGCGCCGGAGGGGCGGGGCCTGGGCGTGCCTCCCGGAGGGCGCCGGAGCTGGGGCGCGCAGCGGGTCCGGGACTGGGCGGGGCTGGCGCCGGTGTTTGAGCACCCCCCCGCCCCGCCCCGCTTCCCTTTCCGCCCGCTGCAGCCGCACGCGGAGTGCGGCGTCTGTCACCCGCTGGGACTGCGAGCCTGGCCCTGGGCGGGGATGGGGTGGGGGCGCCGGCGACTGCGAGACCTGCGGGGCTCGGCGGGGAAGGGGGCGGTGGGAGGCTCGTGCCTTCTGGTGCCTCCGGAGGGCCTCACGACACAGTCACCCCCAGCTGTCGTAATATGAAAATGCGGCAGAATTTTATAAACTTTTTTTTTTGAGACCAGATCTCCCTCTCGCCCAGGCTGGAGTGCAGTGGCGCGATCACGGCTCACTGCAGCCTGCACAGAAATCATCCTGACCCCAGGAGAATTAGCCCGCCAGGACCGGCTACTTTTTGTATTTTTGTAGAGACGAGGGTCTCACTATGTTTACCAGGCTGGTCTCGAACCCCTGACCTCAATTGATCCTCTGGCTTGGCCTACTTAAGTGCTGGGATTTCAGCAGTGAGTGAGTCACCACACTTGGCCTATTTTAAATTTTTTTATAGTGGAAAATTTCAAACTGAAGGAAAGAGAATAGTCCAGGGGACCCCGGTGCCCATCACACAGCTCCAGCACTAGCAGCAGGTTCTGTCACCCCTGGCCCAATAGCGCTGGAGCCTCCTGTGCGGCTCAAAAGGAAATTCCCAGGCTTCAGCGCCCCAGGCCTCCCTGGCTCTTCCTGGCCTCTTCCCCACAGCTTCTCTCAAACGGGCTTCTTCCTGTTCCTCAAAGCCCCAGGCCTTTGCTTCTCCCTCCATCAGGCCTCAAACTGTCACCTCCTCAGGGAGGCTGCCCTGGCCACTCACAGCGGTTCCCTGCCTCCACCCCATCTCCCTCCACAGTCACCCGTGTTTGTGGCTTTGCAAAGCATCTCTCCCAACCCAGAATCCTCTCCTGAGGAGGTTCAGGGCTGCCTCCCAGGCTGTGGCTTCTGTGGAATGCTCATAAACAAGTCATGCTGGTGGCTTGCCTCCCACCCAGGCTGTGAGTCCCACGGGCCAGATGATAATTTCTTCTCATTCAGGCAGGACTTTCTTCTGGTTCACCCCTGCAACCCGAGTGCTGAGAATGGGCAGTGCATGGAGAAATGCACTCTGTGCCTGTCACATAGATGCAGGTTGTCTTGCCAAATAGAACCCCACCTGGGCACCCCAGAGGGGCTGGCTCAGGCCAGGGCAGTGCCTGCGGGGCCAGGACAGGGTGGGAGGGGAGCACAACAGGAGGAGGGCTGATGGGCTGCAGGGCCATGGGGACGCAGCTAGAAGAGGTGCCTGCTCTCCTGGGGGGTATGGGCTAGGCTGTGAGGTGGGCCCAGTGCTGGTGACCGGCCTCTCCCAGCTGAGAAGGGAAAGGACAGGGAGCAAAGGAGGGAAGGAGGAAGAGGGAAGAGACAGGCAAGTGAGAGGGCCACCAGCAGTGGCCTTGGGGAGCCCCCTCCCCACCACCACCTCACGGCACCCACCTGCTACCATTGTCCTCATCAGCAAGGACAGCATTTATGAGATTCAACAGAAGCCACCATCTGGTAAGTAATCCTGAACCCCACTAGACCCAAATGATGTCTGTTGGCTTTCAAAGTGCTTAAACCTTTCAAAAATGCATTGCAGTGAACATTAGATGTGGGGGGAGTTCACATAAAAATCAGGATCTTCAGCTTCTCTTAAATCAGAAGATTTGAGAGTGTGGGTTCTCTTTAGAGGGGCCCTGTGTTCTGCCCTCCACACTGGTCCCCACACTCCCTCTGCTTTCCCCCTTGGGATGCCATACCCCCTTTCGTACCTCCGGTTGAACATATGTTTGGGTATACAAGTTCCGAAGGTGTAGCCAGGCTACCACAACACAGAGCAGAAAACACAAGATCTGAGATCCCACAAGCTGAGTCATAACCAGGAGGGTCAGTGGTGCCATTGGGACGCTCGGAAATGCCACCTCGAGTGTACACACACTGCTTGTCACCAGCGGGTGGAGGGGGACTTAAAGCTGAGCCTCCAAGTCTGTGATCCATGACTGCTCAGTGCCAGGTCTACCACCTCCCTGGCAAGGGGCTGCTTCTCATGGGGGGTAGGCCCTGGTTGAGGTGGAGGTGGCCGTGAGACTCGGAAGGAAGCCCGTTCCCTGGGGAGGCAGGGCTGTCTCGTTTATGACGGTGTCCTGGCATCTAACAGCATGCCTGTACAGAGGAGGTCTTGGGAGAGGGAAGCCTTTTCATGACTGGGAAACTAGAGGGAGGATGCACATGTGTTGGTCCCCCAATCAGGAGAACCCTCCTAGCCTTGTCCTGCTGCTGGTCCAAGGTCCACTTGGACCTCAGTCTCCTCATCTGTCCTTCCTTCCAGCTTTGGATGTGAGTGGTGCTCTGAGAAACCCCTGGAGGCAGCACTGGTCTCCCAGCTGTCCACCCACTTCCCAGCGGTGCTGGCTGTGCGTGGGGACAGCTGGCTGGAGGGTGGAGGGCCTCACTCCTCCAAATAAGAGAGGAAAAACTTGTGACTCAGGGGCAGGCAGAAGTTGAGTCAGCGAAGCCACAAGCTGTGGAAAGAATGAGGTTTCTCCAAGGCTTTTGCTACTCCTTGGGAAAGAAACCGTTTCGGAGGAAAAGCTGGCTTCCAGACTGCAGGAACCCGGATTTCAGGAAAGCAGCGGGCTCCGGATTTTCAAGTTAGGGATTCTGGCACCCATCTCTGTGCTCACTGCCAGGAATTTTTTTTGGATCGTTTATAAAGTTCTGTCTACATGCCAAGCACTGTGTGCTAAACACTGTATGTTATCTTATCTCTTCCTACACTAAGCTATCATTCCCAACTTGCAGTTTAAGAAACTGAAATAGGCACAGAAATATTTACGGGTGAACACAGACGTTCCAGCCAGAGAGAGAGAAAGCAAATGAAGCAGTATATTAACAATTGGTAAATAGGGGTCAGGAGTTTTCTTTTTCTGTAAAGGGCCAATTGTTAAGTATTTTGGGCTGTGAGATCCAGGATCTCTGTGGCAATGATTCAACTCCAACTATTGAACTGCACCGCTGCAAAGCAAAAGTAGCCACAGGCAGTACTTACACGAGTGGCTTAACGTCACGGACAGTGGTGTTTGAATTTCATATAATTTTCGTGTGCTGTGAAAAATTCTTTTTATTTCCCAACCATTTACAAAAGTTAACAACCATTTTTAGCTCATACAAAACCAGGCTGTGGGCTGAAGTTGGCCAATCTCTGATCTCTGGCTATTTGTTGAACTTTTCTTACAACGGTTCTGATGGCTTCAACGTTTTCAAAACAAAAAGCTGGGAAAACAAATTAAAAAAAAAAAAAAAAAAAAAGGAAACAGAGGTCCTAGTCTTTGGATTGGGCAGATCTTGAAACTGACCCTAAATTTGTCTGATTCCCAAACTACTACGTGCTGCATTCTTTTCAAAAAATTATTTTTGTTTTATTTCAATTTATTTATGTATTCGAGATGAGGTCTTGTTCTGTCACTTAGGCTGGAGTGCAGTGACGCAATCATGGCTCACTGCAGCTTCGATCTCGTGAGCTCAAGCGATCCTCTTGCCTCAGCCTCCTGAATTACTGAGACTATGGGCTCATATGACTGCACCCAACTAACTTTTTAAATTTTGGGTAGAGATGTTGGGGACAGAGTGGTCTATGTTGTTCAGGCTGGTCTTGAACACCTGACCTCAAGTGATTCTCCCACCTTTACCTCCCAAAGTGCTGGAACTACAGGCATGCACCGTTGCACCTGGCTAATTGAAAACATGTTTTGTAGAGACCAGGTCTCACTATGTTGGCCAGGCTGGTCTCGAACACCTGGGTTCCAGCGATCCTCCTGTCTTAGTCTCCCAAAGTGCCGGGACTACAGGTGTGAGCCACCGCACCTAGCCTAAATGCTGCTTTCTTTATCAATACGGTAACACGCTGAAGACACCGCGTCTCAAAGCCATACAATGTGGGGCATTTTGAAAAGATTTCTACTGCAATGGTTACGAACATTAGTTTTCTGGTTTTGTTTTTTTGAGACGGAATCTCGCTGTGCCACCCAGGTTTGAGAGCCCTTCTCCCATCATGCAAGACTTCAATCTCTAGACAGCTTTTAAGCCTCTAGATTCCCCACCTTGTTCTTCCCCGCCTTTGCCTTCTGTCTCCCCATCCCTCACTCTGTCCTCTCCAGCTGATGGGAGAGCTTTCATACACCTTGTCTTCACATCTTAGGGATGTTTTCTTTTTTTTTTTTTAATTTTTATTTATTTATTTATTTATTTATTTATTTATTTTAAAGATAGGGTTTCACCATGATGGCCAGGCTGGTCTTGAACTCCTGACCTCAGGTGATCCACCCGCCTCGGCCTCCCAAAGTGCTAGGGTTACAGGTGTGAGCCACCGCGCCTGGCCCAGGGACATTTTCTTGAGACATAAAAATCACTGTCTTTTTCAGGATGCAATTTATTCCTGTTTCTTATGACAAACTCCAGCAGCATCTTCATAAACTCCCCATAAAACCTCCTTGCTTACAATCCTTGGAAGGCTGAAGCTGTCTTTTATCCTGAGAAACTGGACAAAGAGCAAACTTCTACCTTGGGAGCAAGTGTCCCCATGATTATATCATTCTCCAGGAGGCGAGAATGATATAATGGTAAATGCTTCTGCAATGAATGGAAAAAAGGCCTCAAATCAATCCTCTGAGTTTCCACCTTGAAACAAATGGGCTAAAAAAGAAGACATTAAACCCAAAGTATTTAGAGAAAAAGAAATAATAAAAATTGGAGTAGACATCCATAAAATCGGAAAACT